GGTGTATTGTGATCTGGGAATGTGTCTTATTTTTGGGGGGGAATTTACTGTCTTTGTGGACGGATAGTCATTTTTTGCATATGCATTTTCAAGAGCATTTGAATGGAAGGTAGACTGCATTTTACACACACACACACACCACACACACACCCCACACACAGCCACACACACACACCACACACACAGCCACACACACCCACACACAGCCACACACCACACCACACACACCACACACACCCCACACACAGCCACACACCACACCACACACCACCACACACACACACCCACCACACACACCCCCCCACACACATACACACCCCCACACACCCACACACACCCCCACACACCCCACACACACACACCCACCACACACACCCACCACACACCCACCACACACACCATACACACACCACACACACCGCACACACGCCACACACACACCACAGACACCACACACACACATACACACCACACACACATACACCACACACACACCACACAGCCACACACACCACACACCACACACACACAGCCACACACCACACACAGCCACACACCACACACACCACACACACACCACATACACACACCACACACACCAACCACACACACCACACCCACACCACACCCACACACCACACACACACACAACACACACACCACACACCCCACATACACACACACACCACACACCACACACACACACACACACACGAGTTGTTAATTAGATATTTTAGGCACCCCATCTCCTTTTATTTTTGCCAGCTGCATCTGAAATGGATTGAGAAAGGTGAATTAAAATGCACTAGGCCGGGCATGGTGGCTCACGCCTGTAATCCCAGCACTTCGGGATACCAAGGCAGGCGGACCACCTGAAGTCAGGAGTTCAAGACCAGCCTGGCCAACATGGTGAAACCTCGATTCTACCAAAAATGCAAAAAAAAAAAAAAAAAAGAGCCAGGCGTGAAGGCCAGTACCTGTTATACCAGCTATTTAGGAGGATGAGGCAGAGATTGCACCATTGCACTCCAATCTGGGGGACAGAGCGAGACTCCATCTCAAAAAAAAAGAAAGAAAGAAAAATGCATCAACACTAGCATACTTTTTTCTTCCTAAATTTCCAGTAGTTCTTGCTCTGTGGATGTTGAGGCTATGCTATTTGGTACATGAACATTCATTACTGTTAAATCTTCATGGTGACTCTCATCCTTCACCCTCACACAGCGCCCTCCTTTTTTTTATTCAGTATTTCTTGCCTTGACTTCAACTGTGTCTGATATTATGACCCCTGCTTTATCTTAATTTGCATTTGTTTGTTATGCTTCTGCTCGTCCTTTTTTTTTTAAAATCATGGTAAAATGCAAAGAACATTTACCATGTTAACCTTGTTTTTGAGATGCAGTCTCGCTTTGTCACCAGGCTGGAGTAGAGTTTGTGATCTCAGCTCACTGAAACCTCCGCCTCCTGGGGTTCAAGTGGTTCACTTGCCTCAACCTCCCAAATAGCTGGGACTACAGGTGTGTGGCACCCCACCCGGCTAAGTTTTGTATTTTTAGTAGAGACAGGGTTTCACTCTCTTGGCCAGGGTGGTCTTGATCTCTTGACCTTGTGATCCACCCACCTTGGCCTCCCAAAGTGCTGACATTACAGGCCTGAGCCAGTGCATCTGGCCACATTTTAATTTTTAAAGCATGCAGTTCAAGGGCATTAAGTACCTTCTCACTGTAGTGCAACCGTCATCATCATCCATCTGCAGAACTTTGTCAAAGTCATCTGCCCATCCTTGTCTGAAACCTTTCTGAATCATCCCACCTTCACGGCACCTGCTTGTGAGCCAGTCCTTTCTTTTTCGAGCAAGTGGATATGGCGCATTACCATTACTGATACGGCAGATATATTTGGTCTTTGTTCCGTCATCATTGTTTGATATGCTTTCTGCTTTTAGAGCTTTTGTGGGGGTTGTCAATTTTCACCATATGGTCTCTGTTGTCTGTTTTATTTTTTGTATGTATTCTGATAATTTGGAAAGCTGTATTTTTGATCCCATGGTTATCTTTATAATTATAATACGACATGATAGCTTTAATCCTCTTATTTCTCTAGACAACATTTATTTTCTCCCTCCTGTGAATGATGTCAAAATTAGAATATTTCTGCTTTTCCTCCTCTTGTCTCCTTTCCATCACATTATTTTTATTTTTAGTTGATTATATTTTTTCTGTTCACCTTGATGCCTCTAATTTTAAACTTCTAAGCAATTCTTTAAGCTCCACAACTATACATGAATATGACATAGTTTACTTATATTACCTCCCCTGTTCTCACCTCCACCCCTTTTTTTCTTTTGGAGATGGAGTTTTGCTCTTGTGCCCCAGGCTAGAGTGCAAAGGCATCATCTTGGCTCATGGCAACCTCCGCCTCCCAGGTTCAAACAATTCTCCTGCCTCAGCCTCCTGCGTAGCTGGGAGTATAGGCATGTGCCACCATGGCCAGCTAAATTTGTATTTTCAGTAGAGACAGGGTTTATCCATGTTGGTCAGACTGGTCTCAAACTCTCGACCTCAGGTGATCTGCCCACCTTGGCCTCCTAAAGTGCTGGGATTACAGGCATGAGCCACTATACCCAGCCCCTCCCACTTTTTAATTACTTATGCCAGTTCTCTGTTTTGTTTCATTCTTCTCTGTGATGGCGATAATCTTTAGACGGGCTGCAGCATAGTCCTACAGTTATGCAAATTCTACAAATTGTACGCACAATTCTGGTGCTCTTGGCAATGCTCCATTTACACCGTGACCCCTGGATGTTTCTTCATTTGCATTTGTTATGCTTCTGCTCGACCTTCGAATTGTGGTAAAATGCACATATGATTTACCATTTTAACTGTACAGTTCAGGATCATTAAGGACCTTCTCACTGTAGGGCTGTGTCCCCACCCAAATCTCATTTTGAATTGTAACTCTCACAGTTCCCAGGCATCATGGGAGAACCCAGTGGGAGGTCATTGAATCATGGGGGTGGGTCTTTCCCATGCTTTTCTCATGATAGTGAGTAAATGTCACGATATCTGATGACTGTAAACACGGGAATTGCCCTGCACAAGCTCTTTGCCTGCCCCAGCCCACAGAACATGGCCTCCCACTGTGAGGCCTCCTCAGCCATGTGGAACTGTAAGTCCATTTAAACTTCTTTCTTTTCTAAATTGCACAGTCTCAGGTATGTGTTTATCAGCCACATGAAAATGGACTCATACAGCAGCCATCACCACCATCCATCCACAAAACATTTAAAAAATCATCTGCCCATCCTTTGAATCATTCTTGATTTGCCTAAGGGTGTCCTGAATAATTTTACTAAGAAGGAGTCATGGGAACTGTAATTCACAAACATGCTCAGCACATTTTTCTGTTGACTTTATACTTGAAAGATGGTTCATTCATTCATTTGACAAATAGTTATTAAGCCCCTACTGTATGCCAGTTACTTTTCTAGGCCCTGGCAATGCAGCAGTGTATAAAATACACAATCACGTTAGCCCTCTTGTAGCTAACTTTCTATTTGGGGAAGACCAAGTAAGTACAATAGGTGGTGTGCTGGATAGAGATGGGTGCTATGGAGAAAAACAGAGTGGGTGATGAAGAATACCTGGACCTGGCTTTGTTCTGTGAAGCAGAGGAGATGGCCCCACAGAATCCCTCACCCTTAGCCCCTGTGCAGATTCCCACTGATGCTAAGAAGAGAGAGTAGGTCCTGCCTCTTGGCGTATTGCTCACTCTGGACAGGTGGGCTTTGCTGGCTTTGTCAGAGCCCCTCCCTTGACCTCTCCGTTTGCCCAAAAAAATGCACTTTAAGCCTGGTTGAAGATGGTTTATCAGTTAAGAACTGTCATCAGATGCAACGTACGCAAGTGACAGAAACTTTGCCTGCCGTGGTGTCCAGGGTGGGCTGCCACCAGAATGAAATTTCTCCCCTGCTTTCCACTGCACCTGTGTTAGTGAGCGTCCTTCATTCTCATGCATGCAAGATAGTCCATCTTCCCGGGGATTCCTATCCCCTTCCCCGTAGACTCCCATTTACACAGCATCGGTCAGACCGGGTCATGTGACTACCCCCTGGGAAGGTAAGTATTTGTGACTGGGCAGCTGCCCCTGTAACAGACACGGGGCAGTGGGGTTCGTGCTGCCTGCCACGGATGGAGTTAATATTTCTTTTCCCCGGTGTGTCGTTTGCAACATGCCTCTGCCACTCAAAGCTCCAAGTGCCCCGCAGACCTGTTTCCACACTGTAGATCTGGTTGCGCTGGTCTCCTGACTCTTCCCTGTTCCAGGAGCCCCTTGGTCCCTTCTCTGTCCCTTTTATCACATGGTCATCTTAGTGCCATTCCAAAACGCATAATGGTGTTTGTCAGTATGAATGGTATCCGTATCTGTGTTTCATACTTTTAGTTTTTTACAGCAAGGTTGACCATATAATCATCCAAATCAGAATACTTTTGAAGGTAAAAGGGGAACAATATTAAAAATTATGTCAAAACAATAGGTGTTAACCGAGACTGTCCCAAGCCCAGACATATAATTACCCTGGTCATTGCTGAGGTGACTGCACACTCTTGCATTTTATAAGTTGATTTGATGTCTTTTAGGTCAACTATTCTATCTCTGTCTGTACTCTCCATTCTACTAATTGACCTGTTGATTCTGTTCAATTTTCTATGTAAGTTATCCATAATTAACTGTAAACTTTTGTTCTTCTATTTCAGTTCTATGCTTTTTTTCTTGTCTTATTGCGTGGGCCCGGGCTCCAGCACTCTATGGAGCTATAATGATAGCAGACAGTATTGTCTTGCTTCCAGTCTTACAGTCACATGGTTCACAGTGTTCAGAAAGCAAATGCCAGGTGCTCAGGAAACCTGGCTTCTTTTGGCACTGAGGCCAGAGAGAAATGTCCCTAGTGGGTCCCCATGGAGAAAGCACCGTGTAACACTTTTTTCTATTTCTTCCAGAAAACCCTTTTGCTGTGCCTCAGGATGGAGGAGATGAGAGCTGAAGCACCTGGTGCAGCCTCCGAGAACACCACCTTCTACAGAGATGCCAGGGAGAGCCACGGTGGTGGCGGTGGCAGAGGAGGAAATGCAGCCTGTGCCCAAAGCTCCCTTCCGTGGACTTCTCAGATTAGGAGCAAACTCAGGGGTAGGGGCTGGGGGTACAGGGGAAGGGATTCTGAGCCACTTGCCTGTAAGCAATAGTCTTATTTTGGGCTGGTGGCTTCTGAGAGGTGACTCATTGTGGACTGTGGTTCCAGCCAGGAGGTTTGAGGCCTGTGAGTTACACCTGTGGTTGAAAACCGAAGCTTCCCTTGCCCCCGCTCCCTCCACTAGCGGCCCCTTGGGCCCATTTATGTCAGAATATTGAATGTGCGTGTGTGCGTGCGCGTGTGTGATGTGGGGTGTTCCTCTTGCTTGCTTGGTTGGTTTTTATTGGGGCTTCTCCACTCAAGTTCTCTGATGGGCACGGGCCACCCTCTAGCTGGGGGTTCTCATCGGTGTGGTGTCAATGTCTGGGCCACCAGTTTCTTGCTAAGCACAGAGAACAGCCCCTCTGTGTCTCGGGGGGCACTGGGGATTTGAAGATGCCAGTCGGGGTTGGTTCTTAAAGGATTCGTTCCTGTAATGATAGTAATACTAAGGGACGCCTCTCAGGCTGATGGTGGCAGGTACCAAGTTAAGTGTTTTCATGCACACTCCCTGTCACCACCTGGGAGGCAGGTATGACTAACCCCCTGCAGAAACAGTGGGGATGGGGTGCCCAGGCCCACATGGCCAGGAGGAGATCAACCCCTCCTTTGACCTCAGGGGTGCAGGACCCAAAGTCCAGTCTCCAACACCCTGGATATGACGTGCTCCCCAGCCAGGGTACGCCCTGCACGAGGCCGGCAGCATCTCCTTGATGCCTCTGCAGGCCATCACCCTGAGTTCTCCACCATCACCGCCTGGCGCGCTGATCCACTCAGCACACATTGTGGCTAAGTGCCTGCTGTGTGCCAGGCCCCATGCTGGGCAGTGATGGGGATGAGAGATGAGCCAGACCTCGTCTCTGCCCCTGGGGAGCTCTCCATCTGGTGGGAGAGACAGACATATGGATGTCTGCTGGAAAGGGTAACAAGAGAGGAGGCTTCTAGAAATCCATCCACTTTAAAGTGGGACTTCCACATAAACTTAGATGCCCATAACATCCACCCACGGAGCTAATCGCCTCCACGCCTGCCCCCCTTCCCTGGGGCACAGATGAGATGGCATCACTTAAACGATGATGATCACAAACATCTCTAAAGGCTACACTGCCAGTGTAGACGCTACACTGCCAGTGTAGACGCTACACTGCCAGTGTAGACGCTACACTGCCAGTGTAGACGCTACACTGCCAGTGTAGACGCTACACTGCCAGTGTAGACGCATTCATTCCATGGCTGCTAGTGATACCAAATCTCCCCAGCTCTTAGCTTGGGAGGCCCTGCTTAATAGACGTCTGTATCCTCTGACTCAGTTTCCTCACTTCATCAGACCCACTGTTCTCATGCTGACCGCCCATCCATTCACCAGACATGACAGTGAGCGGGGCAGGTCCCTGCTGACTTTCTAGCTGGGGTGGGAAGACGGTGAAGAAGGAAGGCGCAGGACGGTGAGTGCTCCGCTGAGAGCTCAGTCTGGGGACACGCGGGTGAGGCCTTGTGCACCTGGAGGGGTCTGGGAGGTCCTTCCTGAGCAAGTGATTGAAGCCCAGATTTGAATGACAGAGGAGCGAGCCATGGGTATTAAAGATAGGAAAAGAGCTTTCCAGGCAGAGGGAACAGCTCCTGCAAAGGCCCTGTGGCAGCCATAAGTTTGGTGGTTTCAAGGAAGCTTAAGCAAGCCAGGTGGCTGGGACCCAGAGGGAAGGCAGACGGAGTGCCCAGCTCTGGACTCCACTGAATCACGCTGCACAAACACAGTGCCCTGCCTTTGGGAAAGCAGAAACAACTTGCTAGGGCATAAAGCATCCTCCGCGCTGCCTGGCTCTCCATCCTCTGGACAGCCCCAGAAAGGGGCTCTCTCCCCCTTTTATGGATGAGAAGACAGACTCAGCCAGGTCAAGTGGCTTGCCCAGGGTCCCAAAGGTCACCTGTGGAAGACCCAGGCCCCTGGCTCCAGTCTTTGGGACCAGCCGTCTCTTCCAGGCATATGGCTTGGCCGAGGCAAAGTAGGAGAACCTCAGCGTGGGGTCTCAATTAGAGACAGGAATGGCTTGCTGTCCCTGCTGTGAGCCATCTCAGGGCCATGTTGCCATGGAGGGGTGCACAGCCTGCCCACAAGCCCAGCGGGGGCAGCCACAGCTGCATCCCCTGGGCGGTGCCTCGGGAGGTAGAGGAAGCCTTGGCAGCAGTGGGGGAGGGGGGAGCAAGACCCAGATTCTGACATCAGCTCGGCCACTGAGAGCAGAGTGACCTCAGGCCAGGCCTGTGCCCTCAGCTTCCTCACTGGTAAGAGGAAGGAGTCAGATGGTTATGTAAGGGGTCGCCACCCTGGTGTCCTGCTATTCTGGATGATGCTCTTTAGGGGCTTCCTGTGCCAAAAGAACTGGTGGCCTTGCCTCCCTCTCCTGGACAGCTGGGGTCAGAGGTCACTGCCAGATAGACAGCCAGAGCTGGGGTTCACCGGAGCAGCATCCCTTAATGTTTACAACCTTCTAGAAGGACATGCCTGCTGGCCCCAACAGAGGTCCTTCGGGGAGAAATGAAAAGCCCGGTGGGATCTGTTGTCCCACCGCTCTGCCGAGTACCTCTGGGGCAGCCAGGCTGAGGCGTGGAGCGTTCGGGGCCAGCAGGAGGCCTCCACAGAGATCACCAAGACCCCACACACCTGGTACAGGTAGCCTTCAACAAAGGCAGGTGCAGAGAACCACAGCCCCCTCCTCCATGCAGGCGACCCCACCAGCCGCTTCCCTTCTCGGAGCCTCTGCCTCTCAGCTATGAAGTGTGGGAGGTGGGGTTCCAGGAGCACAGCACCTGCTGTCTCACGGGGGAGCCGAGGGGAGACAACAGTGTCACATGGGTGTGAACGCTCGGTGTGGAAAGCAGGTGGGGGTGTGTATTCAGAACCCCTTAGGTCCCCAGGTCATTGTCATACACCTTGTCCCCATCCTGCCGTGGCTGGCAAGTCCTTCAATGAGTAGCGTCCCTCAGAACAAAAGGGTTTCAGGGTCCTGATGAGTTCAAGTTTAGATTTCTAGAGTTAGCGTTTTTTAGTGACTCCTACACCCAATTTTCTAAGCTGCCTACGTTTACTTTTTACTGTGAGCTTCTGTCCATCACCACGTAATTTGTAATAACATGAAAAGACAAACACGAGAGAAGAGGACACGGTGTCCACAGAGGAACCTGCGTGCCAGGCTGCTGTGTGGAACGCCCGCGTTTATAAGGACCGTTTCCCGCTGGGAACTGTGTGTTGATTCACGAGCAGTTTTATGCTTCCCCTCTCGTCTGTGTACAGTGTGACTGTTGTGTGTTTCAGAATCTCTGTTCAGAACCAATAGCTGGTAGTGCCCGCTGGCTCGATGCCCTCACGTTAGCCTCTGACCGTGCCCTGCACCTAGAGAAGCAGCCTGCTCACCCGCCTGGCCAGCCCCTGACTACTGCCGACGTGCAACAGGCCTTAACTGAAAACACACAAGTGCATACATGCACACACACGCACATGTAACCAGGTGTGCACGCACACAGGTGATGCCACAGGTAGATCCCGTCCCTCTTGCTGGCTCTAATACTCTAGACAGCAGCAGGTGGGCAGCTGACAGGGGTCCCTGGGTGGGTGGCTCTCCCCTCATCATCGGATTCAAACTTGGCCCAGAACTGAAGAGAAGGACTTGGGAATGTCGGCAAAAACACCGCCAGGAATGGGGGTTAACAGGCTGCTTGAGACGGGAGAGGGTTCCCAGTTCGCCATCAACCTAAAAGCTCTCTTCAGGTCTAGTGAGTCAAGCAGACCAGGACTGTGGCTGTGGGTTGGGCCGAGCCTGGCACTGACTCCCCCACAGGCCTCTGTCCAGGTGGGGCCCTTCATCCCTCCAGCCGCCGTCCCACCCCGGCCCCTCCGCTGGCTCGGCAGCCTTCACAGCCACCATGTCTATTAAGGAAACAGTGTTCCCTGAGGTGCAGACGCACAGAATGTTTTGTTAGCTTATTTTAATTTTTCAACTTGGCTGGCTGGTCCCACAACTGTGGGGGTTGTGGCCAGAAAAGCTCAAATGTTTCAAGTTAGGCAGCTCGGGCCAGCTGGAAGGGGTCAGGATCCTCCCAGAAAACCTGTGCGGAAGCGAATTTACAGATGCCCCCATGCTTGAAATTCACATAACATGAACCCAGGAGGCAGAGGGTGCAGTGAGCTGAGCTCCCGCCGCTGCACGCAGCCTGGGCAATGGTATGAGACTCCGTTGGGGTGGAAGGTAAGAAAAAACACTAGAGCCCTGGATGGGTTACTGGGGGCATACGTCTTAGCCATGTTGAAGGGCCACCCGTCACTGGAGGGAGACATCCACGTGGGCCCCTTTCGTCTGTGAAAACCTAGGGTCGGAACGGTGCAGTGCAGGGATTCTTGGGCATCAGCGTGTGTCTGCCTGGCCCCCCCCAACAGCCTCCGGATGCTCAGAGGGGCTGTGTGTGGATGACGCCCTGACCATTGCCCTTGGCAGTCCAGGAATACACCCGTGGGCTGGAGCCACCCCCTGTGCCCTGCAGAAGGCAAGGCAGATACCACACGGTGCCCTCGCGCCTTGCTGTAGTGCCCACACGTCCCGCTCTGGTACTTAAATGGATGCAGAGAACTTTGAGGGTTGTGGCCAGAAAAGCTCAAATGTTAAAGTTAGGCAGTTCGGGCCAGCTGGAAGGGGTCAGCATCCTCCCAGCAAACCCGTGCAGTGAGGTACACTTCCCTCCCCCGTTCAACAGATACTTGCCGAGCGCCCATCGGGGAGCCCTTCCTGCTGTAGCTGGGACCACCTGCTAAACGACGAGTTTTGCCTAACAGACATGTTCAGAGTCACAAAACAGACGCAGAAAACTTACTGTCCCACCCCCCAGAGTGACTGTGGAGCTGTCATTGCCCTACCCACCCCCATTTATAATCCAAGCCCCTGGCCACCAGCTGGTGCTAGATCCGTGATGGCTGAATGAGCAGATTTGGCTATTAGTTACTTTGTACCTGGAACAACTACCTTCACCTCAAAGCCCTGATGGATTTGCCCTTGACAGACCGAAATGCAGGGCTGCTGCAGGGCTCAACTCCAGACACTGTCCCACCAATGGTAATGGGCTCCCAGGAATACCGTTTACATGGGCTGCACTGACAATGGTGACCCTTGGGTTTGTGGGATGAGGTACCCTGTTGAATGACACTAAATCAGCCCCTCCAAAAAGTGCAGAATCCCACATTGGTCAGCACCAATCCTGAGCACTGGATCGAAAACTATAGATTACATGGCCACCCTGGCCACAACCGGAACCACGCTGGGCGCCCGAGAAAGCCTCTTGGAATTGCACGTCAGTTTCTCATACCCGGTTTCTATTTTTCGTCATGCCCTATTTTAAAGATACTGACACACATCACAAATAACCAAGTGGTCAGCACCTGGGCAAGGTGCAGTCACGAGGTGGGGGCTCATCACCTTAACAAGGCAGGAAACCTCCCAACAAAGGCCGGTGTGTCCTCTCCAGGGCCAGCCTGAAAAGGGCGCGCAGCGGCACGGGGAGGGGCGGCAACATTTTCTCCCTTGTGCACCCCGACTTCATGGGAGCAGGCATGGGGTCTGAGAGCAGATAACCGGGAAAACCAAAAACCAATACTATTCCTAATAACACTACTAGAATGTAACAGTGATGTGTTTTTCACTGACCGCTGTTGCTCTGCTTTTGTCTTTATATACAGTAGTTTTTATAACGATGTCCTTAGGTTTTAATAAAGGAGTGTCATGTCAACTGTTCCCTAGTTTGGCGTTTACGTCAGTGTTTCAAGTTAGGCTAAAGGGAAGCTGTGCCCCTGTAATTAATTTGCCACTCCGTTGGGGAGGGTGGAGGACCAGGGGTTGGGGTCCCAGCTGAGGAACAGGGTGGCACTGGGCACACGCGTTCATCCTGAGCAGTTGATGGCGATGGCAGGTGGACACCACCGCCAAAGAGGGTATGGCAAGGTCAGAGAGGCACGACGGAGCCCCGAATCTGGCACCAGCCCCCGACGAGACAGAGCTAAAAGCATGTGGGGGGCGCGGGACTGATCGCTGCCGACGGCGGCCGTCAGTGGCCTCTGGTGGGACGTGCGGTGCCGTTTGTCATGTCATTGACGAGGGAGGCAGCAGTAGCCTCCTTTAATGAGCATCAAGCTCCTGAAAAGCCACTGTCCCCGACACTGGGACTATGTGTCCCTCACACTGGACACCACAGGCTCCATTCTGGCCCCACCTGCCAGCAGGAACACTGAGGACGCAGAAGGGACAGGCTGGACCCGTCCTTGCAGCCCAGTTCCACTTCATCTGGGGCCCAGAGGCCCCCAACACCTGAAACCTAATGATGGGGATACCAGACTGCTGGCACCGCCCGCCCCCCCCCCCGCCCCCCCGCGGCAACGGATGCTGGCAAATGCTATTTTCCTGTAGAGAGGTCTCATCATCCAAGGCTTCAAAGTATTTCTGCCCACAATTTATCAAATACATCCTTCCTGGCCCACAATCAGAGATCATCAGGTACCCAAGGCAGCAATGTGCAGAAGCAACTGAGGCAGGAGGAGGAGGAGAAGCAGAGAGGCTGCCAGGCCAGGGCAATCAGACAAGGGTCTTCACACGGCCGCACCTCGTGTGCGCCAGATACGTGAAGCCACATCTGAAACCCATAAAAAAAGACAGGAAATTGTTTAAAGAGCCGATTAGAAACTGTAGAAATAAAAAAATACATAGTAGCCCAAACTAAGGTCTCAGTAAATGAGTTTTCAAAGCAGATTACGTAAGACAGTGTGGTACTGGCAAAAGAATAGACAGACCAATGCAACAGGACAGAGAGTCCTGAAATAGACCCACATAAAATAGCCAACCGATCCTTGACAAAGGAACAAAAGCAATAGAATGGAGGGAAAAAATAGTCTTTTCAAGCAGTGGTGCTGGAACAACTGGACATTCACATGCAAAAATACAAATCGGGACACAGACTTTACACAGCACAAAGCTAACTCAAAATGGATCACAGATCTAAGTGTTTTTTAAAAAAAACTGTAGGACTCCTAGAAGGTCATGTAGGAGGAAATCTAGATGACCTTGGTTTGGCAATGACTTTTTAGATACAACACCGAAGACATCATCTATGAAAGAAAGAACTGATAAGTTGCACTTCATTAAAATTGACCATTTCTGCTCTGTGAAACACTGTCAAGAATGGAAAGACAAGCCACAGGAGAAAATATTTATAAAAAGACGTGTCTGATAAAGGATCATTAGCCAAAATACACAAAGAATTCTTAAAACTCAACCTTAAGAAAACAGAGCCAGGCACAGTGGCTTGTATCTGTAATTCCAGCTATTTGGGAGGCTGAGGTGGGAGGTTAATTTCAACCCAGAAGTTTGAGACCAGCCTGGTAGCTACAGTGAGACCCTGTCTGAAAAAACAGATAAAGAACAGCTGGGCACAGTGGCTCACGCCTGTAATCCCAGCACTTTCAGAGGCTGAGGTGGGTGGATCATCTGAGGTCAGGAGTTCAAGACCAGCCTGACCAACGTAGTGAAATACCATCTCTACTAAAAATACAAAAAAAAAAAAAAAAAAAAAGGTGTGGTGACACATGCCTGTAATTTCAGCTACTTGGGAGGCTGAGGCAAGAGACTCGTTCGAACCCAGGAGGCAGAGGTTGCAGTGAGCTGAGATCGTACCATTGCACTCCAGCCTGGGTGACAGAGCAAGACTGTCTCAAAACGAAAAAAAGAAAAGAAAAAACAACCAACCTGATTTAAAAATGAGTCAAAGATCTTTAGAGGCAAAGAGGCACCTCACCAAAGATACTCAGGCAGCACATAAGCACCTGAAAAGATGCTCCACCTCACGTGCCATCAGAAATGCAAATTAAAACCATGACACCTATTAGAATGGCCAAAATCCAGAACAGCAACGCCACCAAACGCTGGGGAGAACGTGGGAAAGCGGGAGCTCTCATTCCTGCTGTGGAAATGCAGCATGGTCCCCGCTTTGGAAGAGAGTTTGGCAGTTTCTCACAAAACAAAACATATTCATGCCAGATGACCCGGCATTCACACTTCTTCGTATTTACCCAGAGGGGTTGACAACTCGTGTCCACACAGAAACCTGCACGTGGATGTTTGTAGCTTTATTCATCATTTCCGAAACTTGGAAGGAACCATGACGTCCTTCAGTAGAGGAACAGATGCAAACTATGCTACATCCAGACAATACAAGATTATTCCGCGCTAAAAAGAAACGAGGTATCCAGCCATGAAAAGACATGGAGGAAACACAGATGCGTTATTACTGAGTGAAAGAAGCCAATCTGAAATGGCTGCATCTTGTGTCATTCCGGCTCTACGGCATTCTGGAAAAGGCAAAACTATGGAGACAGTGAAAACATCAGGGGCCACCAGGAGTCGGGGAGCGAGGGATGAGCAGGTAGAAGACGGGATTCCTGGCCGGTGAAACTCCTCTGCACGATACTGTAATGGTGGATTCATGTCATTACACATTTTCCCAACCAACACCAAGCGTGAGCCCTAACGTAGACTATGAACTCTGGGTGACAAGGACATGTCAACGTGGGTTCATCAGTTTGTGTCACCTGGGCCATTCTGGTGTGCGTACTGCCAGCAAGGGAGGCTGTGTTTGTGTGGAGCAGGGGACCCACGGAAAAACCTCTGTACCTTCCTCTCCATTCTGCTGTGAACCCAAAACTTCTCTAAGAAATAAAGTCTTTTTTTTTTTTTTTTTTTTTTTTTTTTTTTTTTTTGAGACGGAGTTTCGCTCTTGTTACCTAGGCTGGAGTGCAATGGCGCGATCTCGGCTCACCGCAACCTCCGCCTCCTGGGTTCAGGCAATTCTCCTGCCTCAGCCTCCTGAGTAGCTGGGATTACAGGCACGCGCCACCATGCCCAGCTAATTTTTTATATTTTTAGTAGAGACGGGGTTTCACCATGTTGACCAGGATGGTCTCGATCTCTCAACCTCGTGATCCACCCGCCTCGGCCTCCCAAAGTGCTGGGATTACAGGCTTGAGCCACCGCGCCCGGCCAATAAAGTCTTTTTTATTTAAGAACAAGCAAATTACATTGAAAACGAGGCCGGGATGTCGCCTCTTGCCACTCCTTCGAGGTAGTGCGGAAAGTTCTACCCAGGGCAAGTGGGCCAGGAAGGGAAATGGAATGTATACGGACGGGAAAGAATAAACAAAGGGAAGAAACGGTGGTACTGCTGTCGAAACCAACCGGCCGTAAATACGAGGACTGACTTCTGTACTCTCAATTCTATTCTGCTGCCACTACCATTCTCTTCGTTAGCATAGCTTCGTGGTAGGTTTTAAAACTGGGAAGTATGAGTCTTCAAACTGTATTCTTCAAGACTATTTTGGCTAATATGAGACTCTTGCCTTTCCATATGAATGTTAGGACTTTTGTCAATTTTTGAAAATAAGGCACCTAAGATTTCAAGAGGGGCTTTGTTGAATTTACGGATCAATTGGGTGAGTACTGTCAAATTAACAATATTAAGTATTTCAATCTATGACACGACTGTCCGCCTAGAACATCCCAAGGAATTTTTAAAAAGACTCCTAGAACAATAAGTGAGTTTGCAAGGTCACGGGACACGCAAAAATCGGTCGTATTTCTATATACTAGCAACGAACACTTGAGCATCAAAATTCAAAATACAATACCGCTTACAAACACTCCAAAGAAAATCAATACTTAGATGTAAATTGAAAGAAAAAGAAACAAGCACAGGGGTTGCGTGAAAGGAAAATGAATCTCAGAACCCCAAAACCACAAAGCCGAAGGGAAGGGTCAACCTGGGAACCACGTCAGGCAAACCTGCCTCCCATTTCCATCCTAAATAAGACAGCTACAAAGATTTTAAAAAGCGACGTACCTCCCTCACCATGTTCCCGCAAGGAAATTCCTTGTGGACCAAGGACAGAGGACGCAAAGTCCTCCCTCTGTCCACGGAGACACATGCGTGTCTGATGGCTTCCTGTGGCCTGTTGTTTCTCTAAACCAAACTAAGGGAAAAGTGGCTGCTCCTCGACTCCACCCCACATGTGTTTTTGGTGAAAGGCTGGCTGCTCAGAGACTCAAAAGAAGGCAAACGTTTGTCTCTTGTCTACCTCTGACCCAGAAGCCCCTTCCCCAGCTTTCAGTGGTCCCACCTTTCCGGACTGAACCCATGTACACCATCCACATACTGATTTCTGTCTCCTGCCTCCCCAACATGCATACATCCAAGCTGTGCCCCGACCACCCTGGGCACATGTCATGAGGATCTGAAGCTGTGTCATGGGTGTCCTTAATCTTAGCAAAAATCATCTTTCTAAATTGATTGCCATCTGTCTCAGATACTTTCGGGTTCACACTGTATCCTGAAAACTACGAAACACTGCTTTAAAAATGAAGAAAAACAGATAAGTATTTTGTTAAAAGAGAAACAAAACACTGCTAAGAGAAATCAAAGGAATTCTTAATACATGAAGAGATGTGAGCTACTCAGAGATTGAAATACTCAATAAAGATGTCAATTCTCCCCAAAACAGATTGATGTCAGTTATCTCCAATTCCTGCCAAAATCCCAGGAGGGTTTTTCTGAAGGCAGACAAAATTATTCTAAAATTTATACAGAAAAGCAGAGGATAAAAAAGCTTAAGATAATTTTGAAAAAGAATCAAGTGGCAGAAGCGGGAGTAATTACCCAATTTTACTCCTTCTATAGCTGTAGCAATCAAGACTAGGTGGT